ACACCGCTGTGCCTGGGAGGCTTTTTGAGTGTGGGGGTGTCTTGGACTGAAACCCAGCGCTTTGTGGGGCTGTCTGGTCCCCTGGCCGGGGATAGCTGTGGGGGTCCTTGTCCTGGGGTGCTTGGAAGGTTTTTCTGGGCAAAGGGGGTGCTGGTGCTGCCCCTCCCGGGGTGCAGAGAGCCCCGCTAGCCACCCCGGGTCCCTGGGGCTATGTGTCTTGGTGGCGGTGAGGAGGGCGAGCGTTTTTTCCTGGGTTTTGAAATTCCCCCTTCCAGAAGTAGACCCACCAAGCGTTTGATCATCTAAATGAAAGTTGCACAATTTCCCCCCTAGCTGGTTTATTTGCGCAATGCTCCCCACATGAAGTGGAGTTGGTGGGTTGCAATACTTTCCCTTAGATGTTGCTCTAGTGTATCTTAAGAAATTTGTTAAATTAAACTTTGAAGACATCTCTCTGTCTGCTGTTCCTTCCTGGTGTTATCTGTGAGTCTAGAGATGCAGACACGGCAGAATCAGGGGGATGAGAAAGGAAAGATGAGTGATGCTGAGAGTGATGCATGGCATCTCAGCGTGTGGTCTCTTCCCTCCTGTAGTTTATAGTTGCTACAATTGAAAAAAAGAACAGTATCCTTTTCTAATACAACTTAATATTTTCCTAGACTGTTATTGTAACTAGCTGTTACTCTGTTCAAACCAACCAAACAAAACAGCTGCACAAGTGCTTCACATTTAATTGATTGGTAGAGCCTTCTGCCTGTGCCGATCAACTACTGCATGTGTGCTGGTTGCTAGATGTGGTTTGCTTTTGTGCAAATTTATAGTGACCTGTCACTGCAGTGGATTTAATTTAGAGAGAATTGCAAGAATTTGTATTTTTATATAGAAAGAAATCTTTGACTAATTAAAATTCTCTTTTGATAAGGAATTTGGTGCATAGGGCTATTAAATGCGTGTAGTTCTTGTTTTAATGGTGAAAAAAAAGTCCCCTAAGAGTCCTAGCTCAAAATTGGTGGAGGCTTGTTGTGGGCTTTTTTTTGGTTTTTTTTTTTTTTTTTCCAACCACATGAAAGCTCAGCAGTGTGTGTTTCCCCCTCTGTATGCTGGTGCTTGCTGAGACTTTTAAGGGCGGGTTGAGCCAGTGCCTGGGGTCAGAGCTGCCCCTTTGCTGGATGCCAACAGGCAAGGAGCACGTCAGGAACTGCCCAAGTACCTGTCAGGAACTGCCCAGGTACCCAGGCACCTCTGTTACCTGCTCCAAAGTCTGTTTCCTAATACATATCTTGTTCTGCCTGATGCCAGCAATCCCATTCAGGCCACCTGGGGCGGCCGTGGGTGTGAATAAAGTTTGCCATTTGATTTAGAAATAGGTCTGAGCAGCAGATCTGTGCAGGTCTGGGAGGTGAACCCAGAACTGTGTGTTACTGATGGCTTTTTTCAGGAACTGACATTAAATGTCCTTCCCTGCCTGGCCCTGAAGGTCGGCAAGGCTGGGCTGCGTTTGCAGAATATCCACTGCCTCCCAGAAAATAACACTACCAGCACCCTTGCAGTGTATGAACAGGTAAAACCGGGCTTGGCAGAGCTCAGTGGGGTCTGCAGCCCTCTTGCTTCTGCTTGAGCAAAGGTCCACCTTAAATGTCCCTGTAGGAGCGTGGAATCTGGCTGTGCCTGGTGTAGGTTTACACCAGCCCGCCCTGGTGTGCTCCTGCCTGGCTGCAACCATACAAAAATAGCCGGGATCCACTACCTAAGATGTCATTTTGACGTTACTTATCTGAGGTGAAACTGAAGCCCTTATCTTTGACGCTGAGCGGCAATTGAGTGTCTCGGTTGCCTTTTAAAGGTAATTTGTTGCCCGTGTTTGTGGGGAGGGAGATGCTTGGGTTTTGCTGCCTCAGCAGTAAAGTTGTGGCCGTGGGTATTTTGCTTTAGTTCACAGCTTGCGTTTGAGGGTTGGTTTTAATATCTGGTTTGTCTGTAGCATTGTTCAACCAATATGAAGCTATGCTATAAAAATAAAAAAGTTCCAGGGATTTTGTTTTCTTCTGATTAACTTCAAAGTTGTGATGTTTTGACAGCGTTTTGAAACTGTCAGGACATAATGTGTTTAGAAACAAGCTTGGAGCTGATGACATGGCAGCATATGATATTCATTTTGTTAGGAATGAATGTGCCAGGAGTGCTAATTTCTTCCATACTTGAATTTAAGGGATACTATCAATTCATGCTTGTCTCAGCATTGACTTCTTTTAAGATGAGCTTTCACGTTGGGTGGGTTTCTTTTTTTTCTCACACACAGCGTTTTGTTAGTAAGAAGTAGTTGTCAAACACCTCAGCACCAGAAGTTCTCGCAGTCCCAGGTCCATGTTACCAGTTCCCTAGTTATGTTTCTTGCTAAGCTATGGAGGAAAACAACATGTGAGGAATAAAGCACAAGTAATGACAGACCTGGTGTGGTTTTCTTGGCGGTTTTTGTTCTATGGAGGGCAACGCAGACAAAGAAAGAAGGCTTTCAAAATGATAGGCAGTGCCTTTTGGTTTTTTCATCTTTAAATTAAAACTCTAACCTTCTTCTGCAGGCATCAGTTCTTTGGATTTGATCCTTGAATACTAAACATCATGAGCAACTACAGCGTGTCTTTGGTCGGCCCGGCTCCTTGGGGTTTCAGACTTCAAGGAGGGAAGGATTTCAACATGCCTCTGTCTATCTCTCGGGTAAGTGCCTTTGCCTCTTTGCCTGCATGTGGGTATCTGTTATGCTGTGGCCGGTTTGCAACCTTCAGACAGAAGTATGACATTAATTACCGATGCTGGGGCTCAGCTTGCCCTGTGGCATGGAGGGCTGGTGGGGGTGTGGGCTGGGAGGGAAGAAGCTGGGAAAATAAATCTTCTTGATTGTCTGAAGGCTCCAACAAAATTGTTTTAGGAAGGACACGTTCATTTGAAATGGTTGTTTTATCTGCATTTATTTATGCAACAAAAGAATTCCCTTCCTTGCTCCCACCCAGAACAGAGATGCAGAGGTTGGAGGCTGGCAGGAAACAGGCAATTTTTCCGCGGGGGGGCTGAGGCTGTGCAGTTCAAATGGGAGGCAGCGGTGGGGAAAAACCCCTCGTGTTACCCGTGTTTATTCAGCAGTGCTTAGCAGCTTAGAGGGTCGTTTGGTGTCTGTTCTTGCAGATCCCACTATTTACGATAAAAAGGCACTTAAATGCTGATAGTTGTCAATAGCGGTTCATCAATATGTGCCTGAGTGAACGTGCCACTTTCTCACGGGTTTATTTTTATAGAGTATGTGCTCTGACCTGGCGTTCAAAGGATTTGAGGAACTAAGTCAAAACAAATGTGATCTTTGTACCCAGGCACTAACTAGTTTCCTACTTTGAAACTACATTTTCAGGGAAGACTTTGCTTTTGCTGTGGGCTGAGTTTCACATGGCTGAAACACTTCATATATGTAAGATAGGGACAAACTTTGCAGTGTTGAATGTATAGGCTCATTGGAAATCTCTGGGTGAATTAACTGGCTTCTGATGTCTCTGTAACCTGGCACCTTTGAATCTGATTTGCAGGGTGGAAGCATTTATGTCCAAATGGCACCTTCTCTGTCCACAGCTCTCCTCCCCCTCTTGCATATTCGTGTAGTTTAGTGACAAAGATTAATTATTTTTTACACCTGTTGGGACTGCAGAATTGATACTACCCTGGGAGACGGAGCAGGTTTCTATTTGGGTTTCTGCATCATGGCAATATTTTTAGCTAATCTCAACTGGTGATTCAAACTCTGCCAGTTCATTTAGAATTGGCTTGTCCTATTTACCTGTGGATTTTGCTGGTGAAGTTAAAATACAGTTTGGCTCTGCAAATTTATTTTTATATGGCTAAGATGGACTGGAGAGCTGTCGAAATGCCTGTGTACAGATGAAACAACCAGTATCTGAGCCAAAATGGGGTTGAGAAGCGGTTGATTCCCAAATTCCGGGGATTTTCAAGCTAGGCTGTAATTTCATTTCTTGGAGGAGTAGCCAGCTACTGAACGCTAATGAGAAATTTGAGCTGGGGATGGGGGATAGCACTCTTCTGATTCAACAGGAGAAGTCCTTTCATGACAAGGATTTGCAAAAGCGTAGGCTCTCGCCCAGGTAGGGTCCTTGTGGGTGGTACTGATGAGCAATCAAGCATTGTAGGCAGTAACCAAAGTAAACAACCAATTTTAGGAAACAGTAGTACTTTTTTTGTGATACATGTCAGTGCTCACAAGAGCAGAACATAATGAAAGGCGGGGAGCAGGGTGGTTTTAAGACTTTAATTTGTGCATGGGAGGGGGAAGCACAACATTCGATCCACGTATTTCAGCTGAACTGCTTCTTCTTATCTATAGTTTAGAGTATGCATATACTAGACTGCCTGGTGCTTGCTTTTTAAAAAAATTTTATTTATTTTTTCTTCCCCCTTTGGGTCAAAAAAGTGCTTAGTTCTGGTGTGCCAATCCAGCTTTGGCCCGGTAGCTGGAAGAATTCAACACCGTGTTCCTGGTATGCTAGAACAGCATGTACCATTCACCCCTCCTGCACCAGCTCTTCTTTTCCTGATGAAGCATAAATGCCTTCCTGTATTTGAAGACGGCTAATTAAATTATTTTAGCAAAACAGTAATGAGACAGCAGAATTATGTTCTTTGGCAAGGAGGACTTGTTGGGGGTTTGTTTTGTTTTTAATTTGTCCTCTAGATGCCGAGAATGAATCTGGCTGTGCTGCTGAGAGCAAATTTCCTGCTTTAGTTTAAACTCCTTGAAATTAAGTTCAAATAAAGTACAGTTTAAAAAGCACAAAAAATACACTGTTTTCTAATGCTGTTTATCTGAAAATCTAATCTCTCTTCACTAATGATTTGAACAAATTAAAATCTCTTATGGTTCCCTGGAGAAAGTTCTTAGTAAGTCTTTGTACAGATTGCAGTAAGGCTTTGTACAGAATGGGTGTATTCCTTGTGACCTCTGTAAGGTGAAATAAGCCTTGTTTGTGTTCACTTGAAATTCTTCATGTCAGCTAAGGTGAGACAGGTTAACATTAATGTAGGGGTAGCAGTAATGTTTGATTTTTCTTTAGATAGTATATTGTAGACTAGTTGCAACACCATAACCAATAGCAACATTTATTATAGTGTAGTGATAGGACAAGGAGTAATGGTTATGAACTGAAAGAGGAGATTTAGATGAGATATTAGGAAGAAATGTTTTCCTGTGCGGGGGGTGAGGCAGTGGCCCAGGTTGCCCAGAGAAGCTGTGGATGCCCCATCCCTGGAGGGGCTCAAGGCCAGGCTGGATGAGGCTTTGGGCAACCTGGGCTAGTGGGAGGTGTCCCTGCCCATGGCAGGGGGTTGGAACGGGATGATCTCTAAGGTCCTTTCAACCCAAACCATTCTGTGATTCTGTGAGCTCTGCAGAGTGCTGTTACACAGGTCAGGAATCTAACACTGGGAAGCTGATGTGGGGGGGGAGTGTGGTGGTGGGGATATGGTTCTCATGAAAAAGGGGTCAGTGGGAAGGAAGCTGCTCTGAAAGTCAAATCAGGAGTAAAGGGTGGGTTGAGGGGGTAGATCTACATCTCTTATTAACAGCCAAGTGTTAAAATGGCTCAGGCCACCACTGCCGTGGGGCTTCCAGGTAGTTCATTCTGTACTGGTGCTCATAAAACAAAGACTGCAAACTGTGACCCGTTAGCCTGCAGTGAAGAAGGCAGAAATTACTGGACCCAAGGTATGCAAACCTTGTTTTTTTTCTGAGTTGCTGTTCTTACTTGTTCTTCATGGGTTTTTACATTAATTAAAGAAGGAACTGTTCTCCTTATTCCTTCAAGACCCATATTGTGATGCAAAACTGAAAAAATCGAAAGCTACAGCAGATAAGAACAAATTATTTACATGTGAGGTTAATTATGTTCTGGTAGCTGTAAAGTAGCTATTGTGGGAAACTGCTAAGATTCAGACCTTTTCCCTATGGAAGAAAAAGCTTAATCTCTATCCATCTATTTGTAATACATGTAGTCATGTAAAATGATGTTTACCATAACGCAGTTGTCTTCATATGAATGAATTGATTGCTTCTGAATCAGCACAGACCACTGAAAAGGCAGCTATTAATAGGCATCTCCATCTGGTAGGTTTGGGAGGCATTGGCCCAACACTTGGAGTGTTGGCTACACGACAAGATATATGTCATGGGTCCTCCTTGTTTCTTAATTATTTCCAAACAAAATTTATTTCCAAGTTGCAGGATGCTGAACACTAGCTGGGTCAAAAAAAGACTATTGAACCAAAATAACTGAAGCTGTATTATTTTGGTTTTAATCATGATTGTCAATAGTAAGAGATCTGCTATTGCTTATATCCATGTAGATCTGTGGTCTTGGATAAATCCTACTGATGCTACAAATATGTCCAGTTTGGGAGTGATGGTCTATGCTCAGTAGATCTTTGCCTTCTAGATTTGTTTGTACAAGAGTTTGTTTCTTCTGCTGAATTAGAATAAAGAAATGCAGTTTTGGAGATAAAGTAATCCAAACACACTGACAAGTAGGATTCGTGGAATGTCTCTTGGGCATGCTAAGTATTATATTTTCAGAATTTGGGGTTAATTATGTCTACAGCATGTTTACATGCAACACAGTTGCTTTTAAAACAATGCACACTTTAGAGTTTCAATTAACATATTTGCTTTACTTTTCTGGGAGTTGGTTAGTTCCCAATGCTTGATTAACGTAGGGTTTGGTATTGATGATATATTCATTATTTTGTGATGACCTACGAGAGGTTTAGATATTCATTCTAAACGTATGCTTGAAATATTTGTAGCCTATGAAAAAATTTTTGGTGTAGTCTCTAAACGGTGCTTGTCTCTGTTTTGTGGCAGTATTTACCACTAGAAACAAGGAAATACTGAAGATAGATTATAGTTTAAAAAGTAATATATACCCTCCTACTTCATGCAAATACATAGGAAGCTTTCGTTTCTTCCTGCCCAGGTACATGTATAGTCACCCAGCAAGTTGTCCAGGTGGATGGAGCATATATGATTGGTTTTGCACAGTATTTGCTTATTCAGGGTCTGGCATTTGGCCTTCTTGATATTTGGAAGCAAGCTATTTTAAAGTCATTAACATCTGTGAAAATAATGAGAAGAGAATAAAGGAAAATGATGCCTTGAATGGACCTAGAGCATGTTGGCTTTGATGGACTAGAGTCTGACTGAGCCTCTTGCCCTTGTGGTTGCCTGAGTTATTTTATGAAGCCATATATGTCATTTCCAGTCAAATCAAGTTTTGTGTAAGTATGAGATAAGTTATTGCAGTGGGAAACTGGGGAAACGGTCTTCCAAGCAGGCACGTGAAATAGGAGAGAAACACTAGAACAAGCGCTGGCCTAGCCAGCGATAATTGTGTCAGTAACTTTATGCTTCATCCTGTAAACTACCGAGAGCTACGAACTAAGCCCTAACTGGCAGCTGCTGGCATTGCTGTGCTGGTTTGATGTGCTACCGAGTTGTGATGGTTTGTACAAAATACAGCTGAAGCTGGATTCCATCGCTGCAAGGTCCTGGCACGGGGTCAGAGGGACCTGAAGAGGTCCCAGTGCCTACCTGCTGATCCCACTCCTAGGGCAATAAATGCTGCATTTTACAGGAGTTATCAGTGCTTATGACATGGATGGGATTAGTA